GAACCTTATTTCAATCAGAGTATGAATCAATCGATTGAAAAAATAATCAGCAGAATAAGGGATTAGCAAAATAATAGTGAGTTGTAGCCATAATCCACAAAGTAAAATATACTGACAATTGCTCCCATATTAACACATATTTTTTTCAGGCTGTTCTTCTTTAGGAAGTTTGAAGGTTGTGAAACAACGACCCAGTCATGCAGATGATGGTACCGCTAAGTGTAAAATTTAAAGTTAATGGTAGAAATCGCAGTGGTGATAGAAAATGTGGACAGTGTTCTCGCCAACGAAATTCAGATAAAACAGCTGCAGAAATTGTGTTTTTGAACACATGACCTGCTTATTTGTGCATATAGTTTGTGAAAAACCTGTCAGTTGGAGGATCTCGAGTCAGATATTTTGTGGTACTACTGAGACGACAGCGATCAAATTTGATGGTAAAAACACCCTTTATTTATTCCTTAAAGTCGTTCTTAGCCAACTGTGTCGCTGTGAATGCATGCACATCAACCAGAGCCCCACAATCACAAACACTACTCTTGAAAAAAATATACACATTTAAATCTGGCCTTTTCAGGACACCAATTACATAAAGAAGTATAAGTGTGATTTATATCACTAAACATCCCTTAGCAACCACATTTAATCAAAATATTAATAATTTTTTTCATTTTTAACACCACTAATTCTAAATTATTGCTTAGACGATAAATCCTCCCAAACCCAGAGATGGGACATTAGCCATTTATAGATGTTTCACATCCACCAAGTAGAAGGGACCGGGAAACGGAAGCTTCTCTTTAATTTGCTTTGCCCCCTGACTCAAAACAAATGCTGTTTTCTAATACTCCACAGGGTCACAGGTGACGAGCCACGTGTGCATCTAGTCGGCTCAGGCAGCATACGGCAGCGCACCACTTCCCTTGCAGTGCCTCGCTCTTCATTCAGCATTAGCAGCCCATCACTCAATAACCGGGAGATTAAACATCTATCAAAGTCTGCCGACTTTACCCAGCAGGAAAAGACACATTTAGGCTTTGCGCATCTCCCCAATGATTTAACATCCTGTCTGACTCTGAAAGCGGACAGATGAGGTCATACAGCTTTGGAAAAAAATAATGCTCTCTCAGATAACAAAGCCAACTGCATCCAGGACTCAGCAAATCAGGACAAACACAGATAAAAACCCGATCATGTGTTGGCAGAAAATTAATAAAGAGGGAGAAAGAAAAACCTTACATTTTAAGTCTATTGGTAGATTTTTTAGCATTTCCCTTGAGTGTTTCCACTAGCCTAATCCCTTTTCCTTTCCAATCAACCATAAAATCAGAAGCATTAATAACCTATCCCTCTATTCTTCCTTTCCCCCCATCTATCCATCGGGGGGGAAATGAATTTTCTGTTTTTAGATCATAGATTCTCCCCCTCATCCATCTCACCTACTGTCTCCCTTATCATCGTCCTATCCTGCAGAGGCCTCACCAAATCATCTCCTTTCACTCCCTGTTTCTTTCAATAACCAGATACACATCTGTTTGTTTTGCATGTAAACATCTGGTTTATTGTCTTTTTATAGGAGTGATTTAAACATAAAGAAGTGATAGTATGCCCTCTATTACATAAGCATGATTCACATTTTTCTCCTCCTACAGTATATAAAGAATGATGCTGACATTTTGGGGTTGTTGCATCATAGAAAAGGGATGACGGCCCTCTGAAAACTGATAAAAAATCCCGACAAACAGGCAGGTACTCTACTGTCCTCACCTTAGAACAACTTGTCAAATTAGGGAGAGAAATGTTTGTTTTTTAATGAAAAATGGAACAAGAGTTCAGAACCCAATACTTGCGTTACAAAATTGCAGAGGGAACTGACAGACAGACAAACATGACTGCTAAAGCAGGAAAACCAGTGTCACCACAAGGAACATACATATCAGGGATTTTTTTCTGAACTATAGAATACATGTCAGCATAGATGGACTACATTAAGTCCTATTAATCGACTTACTATTTTCTTACCCAAGCATATACATTAAACGCACAAACATCCACCACCTAGACATAGCTTTAAGTTGAAAATGCATGAAGGCAGGCAGACATGGCTGACAACACTAGTATTTTATTACAGGTTAGACAGACTGGGCTGTTATCTCTCAGCCAAACTGTCATGGCGTGAAGAAACACCCCTGACAACCGGCCTCCACCCTTCCTCAACCCTGATCTACTTTTAATGTGTTGCAGACAGCTTACCTGATAGCCTGTAAAAAAATAAAAAATAAAAAAAATAAAAAAAATAAAAAAAAGCACACATCTAAGCCACCACACACTTACGTGCAACGAGACAAAGGCATATAAGATCAGCGAGTTTCATATTTAAGCTTCTGTAGGGGAAATAAAGCTCTCACAGGAAGCTTCAAATGCACCTTGAACTGTGCACTAGGATAACCCTTCCGCTACTTATGAGAGCAGACATACAGTCTAGACCTTTACAGGTTTGCATAGCAAATATATTATGTAAATGCAGCCGAGCATATTGGGACTTAATGGCTCTTGGCTTCTATGTTGTAGGAGGCTGCTCTGCCACTTGCACTAATGTCAGAGGTTAATCCTGCATACAGCAACCAGCGCTTTGAACTTTATGTACAGGTGGCCCGCTGAGGCAGCCCTATCCAGTAGGGATCATGTGCTTCGACTCAAATTCATGACTCGGACAAACCGCAGCTAAAAATAAAACTACAAATCAGCATCACCAACTTCAGCCATGTGTCATCTGCAACAATGATTTCTATAATATCCCTGTCCTGCTTCTTTAATACCAATTGATTTTCATTATTAGAAAACCCCATTATATAGAATCCTTTTCCTTAAAATAAAAAAAACAAAAAAAAAAACAAAAAACAGCGTGCCTTCATTAATGGCTCTCCAAATAAGCATTTTCTGGGCAATTGTCGCACTTGATCTTTGCAATGTATTGTGACGGATAAGCTAGAAAAATACAGGAAGCAGGAAGGAGAACAAAAGGAAAATCTCAAGCACACAGCGAATTTGATAAAAAAAAGACAGACTAACTAAAAATAAAACCTCTGAAAACTAAAAGTGAGTACGGCCCAAAAAATGTCCAAAGTCTAAGCGATTAGCCATTTCCTCTCCCAGATGTCATGCGACTCATTGGTATAAGAATGAAGCCTTTTCTGAATCCTGCAAACAGCTTTCTGAAAGCTAACAGACATTAACTACTGAATCATGTTTATTGGTCTGATGAAACAAAACCTTTTTTTTGGTTAAGATGATGCCAGGTGTGTTTCTGTACCCAGAAGAGTCCAAAAACAAGTGTGCTTGCCTGCAGTAAGGTACGGTGGTGGAAGTGCCATAGTTTGAGGCTGCTTTAGTGGTGCAGACTGTGGTGAGCTATAATCCATTGAGGGAACCATGAAGGTCAAAAGTTACTTTGTCCCCATGAAGCAGAGAGTGATCCCCTCCCTACTCCAACATGATAAAGACCCCTAATAACACCTCTAGAAAAAGCACTGCCTCACTAAAAAGAACGGAGAGTAAAGGTACTGGACTCTGTAATAATACAGTAATCAATAACAATCCATCCACCAGCTCAGTAATGTCATGGGGGACCGGAAATGCAAACAAAGTGATTACATCATATTATACATTAACATCTTTTACTGGGAGACTGGGTTTGTTAACTATAAGGGCTGTGGCTGTTTTTGCCATAATCAGATGGTTGATTGCGCAACTAGCTTCACCATCAAAGAATATTTGTTAATGCACGTTTCAACTGTAAAAACATTTAATGATAACACAAAGTCAACATACCAAACATGCTATTTGTGGTTGTTGATAAAGTAACCTCAGCTTACTGCTGCAGTTTGGGCCTGACATAACCAGCTCTGAGCCTAAAATGAGTGGTTTGTTTTTAGAAAAAGTCCTAAACAGTTCGTTCATTTACACTTCCAGCTATATGTTGACGGAGTCAGTGAGAGCAGTGCGCTTGTGCTCTGAGAAGGTTGCAAGTATTCGGTTTGATCCCCAAAGCCTGCACTCTGGGTCCCTGAGCAAGACCCCTAACCCCACACTGCTCCCCAGGGGCCACACAATGGCGGCCCACTGCTCCCAAAGGGGATGGGTTCAACGCTGAGGTAAATTTCTATAATGAGAGATCAATAAAGTTCAATTATTATTAATTATTATAATTAATGGTCGCTACCACATGCATTTCTAAACTGACCAATTTCTGAGTCCACTAAAAATAGGAAGTAGTGTCAAAATTTCAGGGTTTAACATAGTCTCTAGTCTAAAGTACATTGTTGGATTTAAGTTTTTTTTTTGAATGATTTTTGGATTTCAGTATTTCCCATGCTAATTATCCCCCTGAAAATGCTGCAACTTCAGTCATTTTAATAACCTAAACACATGGTATTGTGCAAAAATATATATATAATTCAGATAAACTGGTCAGTTTTTTATCTGCAACTATTGCATACGTGGTGATAATGAATAAATAATACTTAATAATAAGCAGGCAGTTTGAAAGCCAGAACCATAACCTGCACAAAACCCCAATAAGAAGAATAAAGAAAGGGAAGAGTTCAGTACAATGCTGTTAGTTATCATGCTCGCTAACAAGAGGCACCTTGCATTGGGAATTAAATAACCTTTAATAAACATGAGCCCGTTATTAACCCTTTATTCAGGACTTAATATAGAAATATTGCCACCAGTTCTAGGCCATGCCAACCTGTTATTTTAGAGGCCAAGGAGACCCAAACCATCGCCTGTCTGTTGCTGGGTGTCCTCAGCTTCTGGACCAGATGGTTCTACCAGCTTTGCTAGGGAGTTAGCCTAAACTGGGCAACATGCTAGCCGCTCCCAGACAGGACGGAGGTGAAATGGAGCATTTCCAGCCACAGTGCACCTGCTGAGTCGCAACCGAAACGAGCGTTTGGGTCCCAGCTACTGCGCAGCTATCAGCTGTCTGTACTCACCCCATTAACCAATCCATGGTGCTGCTGGGAGCTAGCTGAGCTAACGTTAGCTGGCAGCGAATAAATCCACCAGGAGCTGCAGGCAACCCCCTCTAGTTTATCCAGCCACCACCCCTGGCTAGCTCTTGCCGCCTGGCTCCGGACTCCGCTCTCTCTCTCTCCGGTGTCTCTTCAGGCTGCTCGACCTCCTGGTTGCTCAAACGCGGATCGTCGCTGAAACTTGGAGCGATTGTCCTTGTTTTGATCTGCTGCTAGCCTCCGGATCATGAAACGTTGGTGGGGTCAGTCTGGTTAGCTGGTAACGGGAGAGCAGCAAAGGGAAGAGGCGGTGTGCGTCCGCCTGGATGAGCAGAGTCCCGCGTGCCGTGGGAGCTGACCGTCTGGATGTTTGCTGGACAGCCCGGTAACCTCTGTCATAAAGCCTTGTATGGTTACCGTACAGCCTGCCAGACTGAGCCTCCACTGGAGCTGCTGCCTTCTGAGCGAAGTCTAAATCGGAGTCCGGAAGTAAACACAGACCCGACCCACCGTCCGTCATGTACGTAAGCTGCGCTGCATAGCAGATGTCATGGGAGATGTAGTTCATAAAACATAAAAGAAATAGATACCACAGTCCCTTTACCATTATATGAGATCCCTATTAGTACTACTGTATAAAAAGAATCTACTGAAAAATACTGAAAGTATATCTATTTGACGTTAAAGCTGCAGTGTGTAATAATTATAGAGGTTAACTGACAGAAAGGAGATATTTTATACATGTGTATGTTATCTATTATCGACTATGAACTGAAATTCACAAACTTTATGTTTGCGTTGCTATAGAAATTGCCATTTATAATTGCATAGGAGCAGATCTCGCATTTATGGAGGCAGACATCTTTGCCCTACGGCAGCCAAGAGCTGGCAAACTAGTGGCCGTAGAGATTACCGTTATATTCGATTGTAACTGTGGCAAGTTAGGCCAAAATGAAATCTATATCCTACACAGTACTTAGACTGACACAGTCCCTTCACCATTATATGAGATTACTATTAGTACTACTTAAATAAAAAAAATACTGAAAGTATATATTTTTTATGTTAAAGCTGCAGTATGTAATAATTATAGGGGTTTACTGAGAGATAGAAGATATTTTTTTTGCATTAGTATCTTATTTATCATCAACTATGAATTGAAATTCTCAACCTTTATGTTTGAGTTGCCTTAGAAATTGCCATTATAATTGCATAGGAGCAGATATCCCATTTATGGAGGCAGACATCTTTGCGCTACGGCAGCCCAGAGCTGACAAACTACTGGCTGTAGAGATTACCGTTACATTCGACTGTAACTGTGGCAATTTAGCCCAAAATGAAATCTATATCCTACACAGACTAATAAAATACTACTTATAATACGATCCATGCTAAAAGTATAGAGGACGATCTTTTATTTGTTAGTTTTTATTACGTTAGGCTGTTTTATGTGCACGTCCCGTTACCTATCTTTTGCTGCGAATGTGCGCTTTAAGTTGTATATCTGTGGTGAGCTAAGACAGTCATTGAAGGTCACCTTTCTCACCTTTCTTTGAAAATGTCCGAGGGTCATAAGATAAAAAGTTTCTACGAAGTGTATGAGATGAAAAGAAAGGCCTCAGAAGAGGCAGATATATCCTAGAACGCTTTGCGAGGAGAGCTCTCCACGGTTAAGGCATAGTAAGCTTGCATGAGCTATGAGAACAGAATTTTAGATGATTTTACTCTCTCAGCCTAAAGTAACCAGACATGACTAGTAATTATCCTGTTGACAGACCCCCCCATGCTCCAGACACACCACTGGCTGCTTCTCTATTTAACAATATTCCTGTCTAGTCTGTCACTTTAATTGAACAGTCATGACAGTAGATGCCTTATTGTGAAAACCACACCTTGCAGTTTTATCAATAGAATCTGTTGAACTCTGTGAAAGATGTTGCTTTAGCTTGACAGTTTTACACTACGTTAGATTGATATATTAAATAAAAAATGGAAAATTTATATAAATGGTGATGGTGCAGCCAATCAAACTACTTTAACAAAACACTGATATTTAAGAAACACAATAGAAATTAGCTTTTTGTGTGTTTTGTAATAAAATGTTAATATTTCTCTATTAATGAGGCCAAAAAAAATCTTTGTTTTGTACCATCCAGAAGAGGTAAGGCCAGCATGTGAACTGCGATTTGTAAAGAAAAAAGTGCTGAGTAAAAAAACTGAATCCTGAAAAACAAGCAAACATGGCTTCCAGTGGGCAACTGCCAGATATTCGAAAGCCGTTCGTGTAAGTAGAAAATCCAGCAATACTTGTTTTGACCTCCTGAAGTTGGCCTGTCTGGTTCCTTTTTTCTCCTGCCTGCCTCGTCCCTGTCGGATACACCTGATAGCTTCTCGATCTCTGGACATAATCCTCCTGCCTTGCTTCACAACCAAGTCTGTTTTTTTTCTGTCCCTGTCTGGATTGTTCTGTCAATCGTTTATGACCCAAGCCTGGACCTCCCTTCTGCTTCTCTCTCTGGAAACCTGTGGCCAGTAAGCGTTACAGATTCTCTCATCTGGATTCCAGATTTCCCTCTTGTTCATCCCCTCTGGAAACCTCTGCCCTGTGGATTGCTTCTCTGTGCATTACTTTCACACTAACTATGACTGCTCTTCTAACCTTAGCCCATAGCCACTGGCAGGCTCGGACTGGTAATCTGTGATACTGGGCATTCGCAGGGTGGGCAGGTCCTAATTTCAGCTTGCGAGGGCCGGCCCTCCTTAAATCATAACGGCCCAAACACTTACTCTCCGGCCAAAGCACCTACCTGTGACAGTAAACAACTCAAGGAGCTCAAGCAGTAATACAATGCTAATTGACAAATGATGCATGCAATATATATACCCCTTCTTTGTCATGCACATTCTTGTGACGGTTGGCATATGGTTTAATTTCCTATTTCTTCAAACTCTAAAATCCTATTTCTTCAAACTGTAAAAACTTTGCAACAAACTAAATTATAATAAAACTAAAATTCTTTCTTTACACCAAACTACGAAGTTCCTCTTATATTTGGCTAATTTATGTTAGAATATTTTGCAAAAATATGCCGCGGTGCATGATGGGGTTTTCATCTAAAGGCTAACCTTTCCCGTCTTAGGTCCATTATTACCAGGTTGGGTCAGTCAAAGTTGTGTCCGTGTTAATAAGTGTCCATATGTGGGCCGGTGTGGATGGAAAATCGTTCCCAGTCCGAGCCTGGCCACTGGGATGAAATGTTATGGTTGGTGGCTTTCATTCAGAGCACCTTCAACACCACTGAGTCGCTTTTGGCTACTAACCCTGTTCTCCACCCCACAGGGGTTCCAGTCGGTTCATTTCCTGCAACAGCAATTTACCTTTTGATCAACATTTTTAAACTCTCTCTACTTGTGTCTGTTGAATTATTGGGTCTCTTGGTTCTGTCCAGGCATTGCAGATATATCATTAAGTCAATTGTAGTCTACAGCCGTTACTTCCAGGGCTGCCTACCAAACACCTTTTCTACAAATATGGACCTAAAGCCTTATGTTGTTTATGCATGTAACCGTTTCTTTAAGATTGCCCTGGAAGCATCAGATTTATCCAATGTGATCATAAAAGGCTATAAAGCATTTTGATCTTTCCTTTAAGCACTGTTTAGTTTACAGTCTCGTCTTACAGGCAGGTATGATTGTAAAAAAGCTATTCTGATCATAAATCGTTCACAATTAGCAGTCAACTTAAACATGTGAATAAAACCAGTCGTCTATAATATTGTTTCAGGCAGATTGGTGCTCATTTTGATCTTTATTGGACTGAAGATCTGCCTGTTAAAATGAAACGCATTAATTCCAACTCCACACTGAATGGAAACGAAGATGTAATGAAATCTGATAGTTTCCTCTGATATTTTGCTAATTCATTAACTGTTTGCATTGACTTGAATGACATGAGAAGCAGTGCTGCATATAGGTGACATATTGAAGTAGTATAATTACAATAAATAGAATGAAATTGTGTGATTCATGTGGGTCTCTATGTGATATAACTGCTTCTTTTTTTAGAACTCATAAGATATTTTTATGGCTATTATGGTTAATTATGACTTGGATTAGCCGTCATAAAGTAGTAATAAAGTAACTCATCGTCACTTACAAGAAAGTGAAAGGTTTTCCGACTTTATCAGAGAAAGTTCCAGATAAAGTTGCAGGATGTTAACCCCTAGAACCCTACGGACCCACCGGTGGGTCCAGCTGCTACGTGACCTCGTAATTTTAACAAACCCCCAGTATTGATGTAAAAAACACATTTGGCACAGTTTGGTGACATTTTTGGATAAATGTGCCAAAATGGCCTCTCCGCCTAAGAAATTTCTCACTAATACCATTCTAAAATAAATATGATTCATCTGATTGAGTCCAAATTTGGTATATTTTTACACAACATTTAGATTTAAAAGTCTGTACTACTTTTTTGTGCTATAAATCATATTTTGGTAGTGTTTTGCAATGTTTATTTCAAAGAAAATTTTGGCGAGGTTCAAAAAATGCAAAATATTTTGTATTTTGTCCCTAATATTTCAGGCAGGGTCAAAGCTACAATGGTGCTGACACCAGAAAACCATTCTATGACATCTTACCTTTACAGACGTACCAAAAGTTTCTTCTTAAATCTAATAGCTGTGAGGCTATAAGTGATTTACTTTTGTGTGTTTTTGTCAGGCAGAAATTTATTTATACCCCCTCAGGGTGTAAGAGGTTAAGAAGCATTTGGATGGTGTCATGATTGGTTTAATGAACGAAAACCCACATGCAGAACACTAACGGAGACAGAGGAAAGTTTAACAATGTTTATTTGGGAAACACACACAGAGTTAATTAAGAACTGGTTCTGGTGCAGGTCCGGGACTGGTTACTCTTATATCTTGAAGAGGTTCTAACAGATCCTTTGAGAGGGGGAACCGGTTGGGTCCAGAGACTGTGGAAGTAGCAGAGAGCTCAGCAGCAGCAGCGTCTAGCTTCTAGCCAGAGAGTTTTCGGACTTGGGTTTGTTTCCTAGCTCTTCCCAGAGAACTGACGGAGGAATCCAGACTGAGATCTTCAGGTTTGGCTTACCTGGGCAGGCAGGCAGATTTCCAGGTTATGCTCATCCAGAGCTTCAGACTTCAGTCGGGTTTCTGCGAGCAAAGAAGACAAGAACAAGTTAGAAGGCTAGTTTCTCTCAAGAGGCAACTAGTATTCACTAGGATTTCAGAGGCTCAGGTTCGCTAACCAAATTAGGTCAACACTGCGGCGTCGAAGGAAGGTCTGACTGCTGCTTATGTAGGGAGGTCTTCTGATGAGCTGATGATCCCCAGGTGTGCTGAGGACTCCAGCTCAGGAAGCCCACAGCGCTCTCTGCTGGAGACAGGTGGCAGATCTCCAGATCCCGACAGATGGTTTAAAGCACTAAG